CGGGTGGTCTGGATGTGTACTAGTGTTGGTGGTATTTTTCTTGGTTTTTTTTGTTCTATTTGAATGTTGAATTTGGTGAATTTATTGTTGGTTTAACTCTAATCCATGGGTATACTTTCAATTTGTTAAAATGCCTCTGAGAATTTTGATTTTTTTAATCTAATTTTAATTCAAAGGATATGAAACTAGGGATGGTGACGAAGATGATGACAATAGTGGTGCTCCAAGTGTATCAATGAAGATAATGGCGAAAGGTTTTTTAGTTTGAGGTGTAGTTTTTCTCCACCTGTTGATCTTATGTTTTTCAATTAAATTTTATATTTACGCTTCAAATTTGTTGTGCATATCTCATTTACTTTGTATTTTCTTTATTGAATGTGAATCTTAAGTTTTCTGGTGGAATTCTCAATTATTTCATTTATTATTTTTGTTTAGTTTTGTTAGATCTGCTTAATGTCATCGCAACACACAAAACTCCCAAATGGAGTACTCAAGTCTTATTAATATAATTGTAATTGTAATTGTAAATTTCAATAAATTCAAACAACTTTTTGTTGGGATTTTTACGTTGGTTGATTTTTATTTTTAATTTGCTATTTCGTGTTATTTTCTTGAAGTGTAATTTGCATGTTACATACAAATTAAGTATACAAATTACAAATTCCACTTCATAATTTAGTTCATCAATTCTCCCAAATTGTATAGAGCATAAAAATAAAAATAATTCAAATGCCAACCGCAAAATTTTATTTTACTTTTTTATTAAAATAAATAAGGAACTAAGAGACCCGTTAGCTAGCCTGATAGGTCTGTTTCATAGAAACTAAACAGTCCTCCTATCTCAAACAACGGGTCTCTTTTTCTTCTAAATTATCATTCTCATCACTCAAATAACAGACCCGTTATCACCAAAAATGGGTCTCTTTGTGCGCATAAACAAACCCCTCCATGAGACGAGGTCTCTTAATTAAAGAGACCCCTGAGATAAAGACCCGTCCAGAGGCGATCTCTAAAGCATTCTTTGCCAATTGTTGTAGTAGTGGTGTTTCCTAAGGAGATTCCAAGGATGCCACCTAAGAGAGCAATTGATTTCACAATAGATTTAGTTCTAGGAACAACACCAATTTCCAAGGCACCATATCGAATGGCACTTGTAGAAATGAGTGAATTGGAGGAGCAACTACAGGATTTTCTGGAAAAGGGATACATTAGACCAAGTGCATTGCCTTGGGGAGCTCCAGTGTTGTTTGTTAAGAAGAAGGATAGAAGTATGAGATTGTGTATTGACTACAAAGAATTGAATAAGGTCACCATAAAGAACAAGTACCCATTACCAAGGATTGATAACCTATTCGACAAATTAAGGGGAGCATCTGTGTTTTCTAAGATTGATTTGAGGTCTGGATATCATCAGTTAAGGATCGCAGACAAAGATATCCCTAAGACAGCATTTAGGACAAGGTATGGACATTATGAGTTCACAGTAATGCCATTTGGATTGACTAATTCTCTAGCAATCTTTATGGATTTGATGAACAGGGTGCTCCATCCATTTATGGACAAGTTGGTCATAGTGTTCATAGATGATATACTGGTGTATTCGAAGAATAAGGAGGAACATGTGGAACACTTGAGGGAAGTTTTACAAACTTTAAGGGAGAACCAGCTCTTTGCGAAGTTTTCCAAGTGTGAGTTTTGGTTAGAGAAGGTAGCATTTATGGGTCACTTTGTATCCAAGGATGGGGTAGAAGTAGATCCAGCAAAGATTGAAGTAGTAAAAGGATGGCCCACGCCAAAGACGTTGTCTGACATTAGGAGTTTCTTAGGTTTAGCAGGTTATTATACGCGTTTTGTGAAGGACTTTTCTAAGATTGCTAATCCTATGACCTCTCTAATGAAGAAGGATAATAAGTTTGAGTGGGATGAGAAGTGTGAGGAAGCGTTTCAACTGTTGAAGCAAAAGTTGATTACAATACCAGTGTTAACATTGCCACATGATAGTGGAATCTACGATGTGTATATTGATGCATCCAAGAATGGTCTAGGATGTGTGCTTATGCAAAATGGAAAGGTGATTGCATATGCATCGAGACAGTTAAAACCTCATGAAGTAAACTACCCTACTCATGACTTAGAATTAGCTGCAATCATTTTTGCACTAAAGATTTGGAGACATTACTTGTATGGGGTGAAATGTAGGATCTATACAGACCACAAAAGTTTGAAGTACGTCTTCACCCAAAGAGATTTAAACTCACGCCAAAGGAGATGGTTAGAATTTGCAACAGACTACGACTTAGACATACAGTATCATGAAGGGAAAGCAAATGTAGTTGCAGACGCTCTAAGTCATAAGACCAGCCATGGACTGAACACTTTGATAGTGGCTGATGAATTATGTAGAGAAAAATGAACTAAGAAGTATTAGAATGGGGAGTGCCAGCAGGTATACTTGCAAATCTAAGCATTCAACCAACAATACTTGATGAGATAAGAGAAAATCAAGCAGGTGATGTTAATTTGGATAGGATTCGTGAGAAAATAAAGCAAGGAAAAGCTACAGATTTCAAAATTCATGAAGATGGGAGTTTGAGGTACAAGGGTAGATGGTTTGTACCACAAAAATGTAAGGAACTAAAGAAGAAATTGATGGAAGAAGGGCATAATACACCATATTCAGTACACCCTGGAGGAGACAAGTTATACAAGAACTTGAAGAAAATGTATTGGTTGCCTAGGATGAAGAATGAAGTTACAGAATTTGTAGCAAAATGTCTAACATGTCAAAAAGTGAAAATAGAACATAAGAGACCAGAAGGAACCGTGCAATCATTAAAGGTCCCTGGATGGAAGTGGGATTGCATTTCGATGGACTTTGTGACTTGCCTCCCAAAGTCAAAGAGTGGAAATGATACACTACAAGAAAATTGTCTTTTCGTAGCGATTGTACATTCGCTACAATATGCATATATGTTTGTGAAATAGTAAAGGAACCCGTATCATTTTACAATCGACATAGTAAACCCATATGAAATCGATACGAAAACATAATAATAATTATTCACCTTTTTTCACATTTATAAAAATGGGCAAAAGTGTATTGTTTACAATCGCCACTAAAACCCAAAAATGGATACAAAAAGCCTTTTTTACACTAGATTTTAAAATTTTGTTTGACAAAGAGAACATAAAAATATGTCATAACTTATTGGAAAAAAATTTAATATTAAAGCTTGAGGTTGCATGTTCGAATCTTGTGTAGATCATATGTAGGGATTTTTTTTTTTTTTTTTGGGAAATTCTACATAGTAGCCTCCAAGATTCAATTTTTCTACGTGGAAGACAAACTTTTTTCCAATTCTCTATAGTGGCACCCAAGTTTTGAAAAATTAACCATAGTGCCCATTTTTAGGTTTATGGATAACTTTTTTAGTTTTTGGTTAACCATAATTAAAAAGTAAATTAAAAAAATAATTAAAAAAAAAAAAAAAAAAACCACCTACCAAACCCCACTGCCACCACCACCACCTCTACGCAAAAACCCTAACACGCAAACCACAACACGCAGCCACCTCGCTCCAGCCCACTTACCACTGCCACACCAAACAAGCACAACATCGACGCCAACAACAACTGCAGTCACCCACCTCGCACTAACCGGACTACTTATCGTAATTTCGAAAACACTTGCACCCAACCAGTGTTCATCGCCCTCCCCTCCGCCTCACATCAATTCAAACAGAGCAGTCGCACTTCATCTCATCCCCAATTCAGCCCCAAATTAATTGGGATTTCAAGCGAACGAACGGAACCCTAACGAATTGGGGGTGGTTTGGGCTATGGGGTTTCGGGTTTGGGTTAGGGGTTTTAGGTTTGGGGTCGCCACCTTGCGATGGAGGATGGGGAGGGGGTTTATTTCAGTTAGGGGGAAGGGGAGGGTAGTCGAATCAGGGAAGGGAAAGGGAGTGGCTGGGGTAAGGCTGGTCGACTGGTCTGTGGGGGTCGGCGTGAGAGGGAGAGAGAGGTCTGGGGCGGCGGATGGCCTGTGGGGTTAGGGTTTCGGCGAGTTGGTGGTGGGTGGGTTGGTGATTGGGGTTTTTTTTTACTTTTATTGTTTATAAAATAATTTTTTAATAAAAAAATCAAAGGTTAACCATTTTAATCATAAAGGTTAGCCATAAAACCTTAAAAAGGGCACTATGGTTAATTTTTCAAAACTTAGGTGCCACTAAAGAGAGTTGGAAAAAAGTTTGTCTTCCACGTAGAAAAATTGAATCTTGAGGGCCACCATGTAGAATTTCCCTTTTTTGTGTAGAAAATGAGTTCAACATTTTTAGCGATTATAATCGCTACAATAATCACCATGATTGAATGTAGATTTTCGTATCGATTAATGAGGACAACCCCAGCGAAAGCAAAAAACACTACTAAAGGCTATGGTAACGGTGGATATTGTATCGAATAACCATTCGTTGGGATTTTTTTCGTAACAATTACAATCGATACGAAATGTTAAAATAATCGCTACGAAAAGGTATTTTTCTTTTAATGATACCATTTGGGTCGTGGTGGATAGACTTACCAAATCCGCAGTGTTCATACCAATGAAGGAGACCTGGAAGTTGGAGCAACTTGTAAAAGCTTACATTAAGAATGTTGTGAGGTTACATGAAGTTCCAAAGGATATTGTGTCTAATAGAGATTCTAGGTTTCTTTTAAAGTTCTGGAAGAGTGTTCAGGAAAACTTTTAGACAACACTAAAGATGAGTACAACATTTCACCCTGCCACATATGGACAAACTGAGAGAACTATTCAAACCTTGGAAGATATGCTGAGAGCTTGTGTTATAGACTTACAAGGGGGATGGGAAGATTGCTTGGACTTAATTGAGTGTTCTTATAATAATAGCTACCATGCGAGCATAGGCATGGCTCCATTTGAGGCATTTTATGGAAGAAAGTGTCGTAGCCCTGTATGTTAGAACGAAATAAGTGAGACAATGATCTTAGGGCCTCAAATGATTGAAGATATAGTCGAGCAAGTGAAGGAGATTCAAGCTAAGATTCAAGCTACACAGGACCGTAAAAAGAGTTATGCAGATTTGAAGCACAAGGAAGAAGAGTTTGAAGTTGGTGACAAAGTGTTGTTGGAGGTGTCACCAATGAAAGGTGTCATGAGATTTGGGAAGAAAGGGAAATTTAGCCAAAGTACATTGGTCCATATGAGATATTGCAGAGGATAGGCAAAGTAGCTTATAGGTTGGCCTTACCTATGGAGCTAAGTAGGGTGCATGATGTATTTCATGTGTCTCAGTTAAGAAGGAACCTGATAAGTCACATGTGCTACAGCCTAAAACAATTGAATTAGATCAAAGCTTAACTTATGAGGAAAAACCTGCCAAGATTTTTGACAGTAAAGTGCATAGTACACGCAATAAGGAATTTAAGATTGTTAAAGTGCTATGGTCTAACCAAGAGTACGAAGAAGCAACTTGGGAAGCTGAGGATGAGATGAAAAAGAAATACCCTGAGTTATTTGAGGTATGTTGAGTTACGGGGACATAACTCATTTTATTTAAGGGGGTAGAATGCGGTAGAATTTCGCGCTTTTTTCTTAAACTTTCAATAATTTTAGTACTTTTGCACATTTTTAACGGTTATTTCGAGTACTTTTGGTTTCAAGGAGACATTAAAGGTAAATGTATGTTAAAAGAGTATAGCAATATTACACCAAGTGAGGAAAAAGATTTTTTAAAAGTTAGTATTCTTTTACTCATTTGAGTATGGATTTTGTTTTTCGTTACTCAAGTTTCGGGACGAAACTTTTTTTAAGGGAGGGTAGACTGTAATATTCTGTATTTTTATACGTATATTAATTTAAAGTGTTAGTATACGACGTATTTAAATTATTTGAAATGAATTATTTTTGGTATTTTAATAACTTAAAAAGGTTTATTTTAATTAAAAACCCATTTCTATTTATTTATTTGTTTGGAAATATTTTACTTATTATTTAAAAACTTTGGAGCATATTTAAATTATAAAAGAAAGTTTTAAAGTCAATGGAATTTTAAAAAAAGTCAAATGCCAATTTGAATGGGAATAGGAATCATTAAGGGTAAAAAGGAAAATTAAGTTAGAAGGGTTTTGAAAGGGAGTATAAATACCCATCTTATGAACAAATTAAACTTTGCCCAAGTTGGAGAATACTCAAAGGTAAACTCTCTTTCTCTCTCCTCTTATTTTTCTTTCCCTTAATTTTTCCCCTTTCCCTCACATCACACACACACCTCACGGCACACACACTCACGCCACTCGGTGTCCGGCTGCCACCACCACCACTATAGCCGGCCAGCCGCTGCCAGCACGGAGCAGTAGCAGCAGCAGCTGCGGGAGGTGGCGAACCGACCACCCTCCCCTCTCGCGGTTTGCGGTTTTATAAAAATAAAAAAAAAAGAAAAAAAAAGAAAAAAAAAACTCCTCTTTGTTTTAAAATTTATCTAGCTTTGATTAATTATTGTTTTTGGGTGTGTGATGATTTTATGATGTTTTAATGGTGATTAATATGTATATAATTTTTAGATTTGGTTTTTGAAAAAAAAAAGCCCCAAATTGATAAACCCTAGGTCTCTAAATTGATGTTTATTGATGGAATTTAATTGTGGTTGATTAAAACTATTGAAATTAATGTTTTTAAACAAAACTATAACAAGTTTAAAAGTTATTATAATGCTGAAATTTTTATGAAGAGGCTAGAATTAAGTTTTCTTGAAAGGATTTTTAATTACCCATTAATTATGAATAAAAGTAGATGGTTTTCATTAATTTTCAGCATGTTTTAAAAGGTTTAAAAGTATTTTAAAGAGTGAATATATTGATGGAAATTTATTATGAATAGGTAATAATGTATCTTTGTAATTTTGGGTTATAGGAGACTTCCAAGTGAGTGATTTTGTGTAGTCGTGGCGATTTTGAGATCATATTCGAGGTACGTTCGCATACTTGGTAATTATTTAAGTATGTAGAAGCATGCTAGGACTTGTTAAATTAATTCCAAATTAGTATCATGATAGGTAGGGGTTGGATTGATTTTGGTGATTGATTTGCGAAGCATGAATTATTTGAGGTGAATTATTGATTGGAATTAATTATGATGGCCTGTTGAATATGAACCACACTTTTATTATTGGCATGATCAAGAGCATGTTTGATTAAACTAAATGTTTAATTTGGTTTGGATTATGAAAAGGGAATTTTATGGTTCATATAATTTCTATTGATGCTATAAGCATGAGAAATGAGCTATTTAAGTGTCTATTTACACGAGGATTAAATTATAGTTTGGAGCCTAAGTGAACTTAAGGTGTTCTAAACACCGAGGGATAGGATTTGCGGTGCACTATGCACTTAAGGTGTTATTTAACGCCGAGGTAGTTTAAAAAGGGTTCAACATTAAATTAAATGTGGTCACTAATTAATCAAGAATTAAGTTGGTATGTTTGATCGCTTGAATGATTTATGATGATTTATTGTGTTGTGGATTGAGAGTCATCACTAAGTCTAAAATATGTAAACAACGTAAAGTGAAAGAGATTACGCATCAAAACTCTTGGAACGTAAATTCCTCAAGTACGAACATATGGGGGGAGTTATGGGGTCTTATATTTAATAATAGCTTCTACTGGGGGGTACAAGACGCTATATTTTCCTTTTTATTATTATGCGCAGGAATTCCGCCACTTACAAGTGGTTCTTATATACTGGCACGGTTAGCTCCCGTGTTAGTATCCCTTTATTGGGTCAGGCTAGGGGAAACCCATTCGATGCCTAATCAAATTAGATAAGCAATGGAAATGTCTATTGAATGAAATGTGTGTTGTATGCTTGTAAACATGTGCAACAAGGTAAGTTCTGTGATGCTAGGATGTATGCATGTAAGTGTGAATCATTTACGCTTATTTACTCAGCATTGCTGATTGTGTGTATTGTATGTTCTTTTGGCTTGTCTTTATCTTGGCCCTACGATGACCCATTTCTAATGACGAGTGGTGGGGACAAAGTAAAGAGGAGATTTTCAGGTGATGGAGCATATTCATGACGGGCACGCATGAGTGAAGAGCGAATCTTGTTTAGTTTCCGTAAGGATATGGTGTGTTTACTTGCTTTGATTATTATATAATTGCTTGTGAGACTAACGCAGTGATTTTAAATATTCATTTTGGTTTTTGGAAAGAGCCTACAATGGTTCCAAGTTGTAGGTTGACTTCGTTTGACTTTGGTTTAACTTTACTTTCGTTTGATTTGACTTTTAAAAGTTGACTTGTTCTGAATGGTTTTAGAGTAAGTCTTCCGCTGTGTGTCTTTGATAATTTCCTAAACCGTTATCCTGGTGGTGATACTGTCTTAGAATTTCCTAACTCGTATTTTAAAAAGGGCAAAACAGATATTTTAAAGGAAAGGAATTTATAGGGTGTTACATTGTTAGTCAGAGGAGGACATTTAAATGAAAGACCCTGTACAAACTCAACTACTGTTGCTTCATACATATCATCAACCTGATCACATTCTTAAATCATGCTAGCATAATACTAATGTTTAGACCTAGAATCTTCTTCTAAGCACCTCTCATAGACCATTACACCACTAGACAAAGCGGAAAAATCATGGAAGTATTGTTCTTCAAACTTTTCCTGAAAGGAAAGGATAAACCCTTTTGGACGATAGACACAAACTCTGATTCAAGTATATTTAAGTGATATTTAATCTTAGCATTCTTAAATCTGTGAATGTAATCTCCTACAGGTTCTTCTTTTTCCTGCACTATCTTGGCTAAATTACCTATATTGACCTCTGCCTCAACTTTAGTGAATTGGCAAAGAAATTAAGTTTGCATATCTTGCCAATTTTAAATCGAATTAGGTGGTAGGTAAGTAAACCAAGAGAATGCAGTACTAGTAAGAGAACTGGAAAACATTCTAAGCTTAAGGAATTCATTATCTGTCGCCTATAAGAGAACTGAAAAACATCCTAAGCTAAAGGAGTTAAATCTGAACAAGTGTTCCTCGGCGGACATTATACTGTCGCTAGAGAAAAGAGGGGAGAATTCAGGAACCTTGAACCCTCTTGGGAACAGATACATCCTATCAATCCACTCAGGATATGGACTGTAAGTTTCTCTTCTAGCATATCCATCATTCTGACCCATAGCCCTCTGGATCATTTCCTCCACTCGCCTAAGCAGGGGTTCCTGTCCCATTTGTGGAGGGTGACTTTGCATTGGTCCATTAGGTTGAACTAGTGTATCTTGTGTATGAAAAGGGTTATGTTGGCTCCCTTGAGGATTGTGGAAACCTCTTGTGAGGAGGGTAGCCCGTCGTTAGGGATCTCATTTCCTCTTTGCCCGTGGCCCTTTAAAAGCCTAGGACTTTACACTTTTTAGGGTGTGTTAGGATTTGAATTCCTAACTGTTTGGGGGACCTTGAATTAGAATTGATTCTATCATTACTCTTTTATATTAAAAACCAATAAAGAGTCGCCAATGAGTTTTAGGAAAACCCATAAACCTTGTTCATGCCTTTCTCCCAAGACGAGCTCAAGGGATATTTAGCACGAATCATAAGTTTACCCATGCCCAAATTGGTCTACTAGTACCAGAAATGAGTTCGGGAGCGAGGGTACTAAGATGACATTCCTTTTGAGGGGAATCACCATCCTAGCCCTAGTGCGGCCTCTACTAGATCTTCCTTTTTCACAATTTCATTGCTAAACAATATATGCAACGTGATTCCTAAAACTAAGTTAGTTGATTTTATTTACACGCGTCAATCACAAAAGGATTACATTACAACGAATGTCATTATTCTTATTTAATTCAAATTTGTGGAATAAAAAAAAATAAACAAGATTCGCCTTGACTTAGTGATAAAACAATCAATTAATTTATTCAATTCTAGTCTTGTTTAACGAAATAATAGTATGTCGAATTCATTAATTAAAGGTTTGTTTTAACGTGATCAAGCAACACTAATTAGTCAATTTAGGTGATTTAAGACAAGAAAGGTAAAGTGATTTATCTAAGCGCTCGGGAATTACCACTTTTCCTTGCTAGATTTTCGTTTAGAATGCAAATGGACACCTTCTTGTCCGGGAACCTCCACCGTAAGGACAAAGTAATTAAAGGGTGAGTGTTTAGGACAATAGAGTTTGATTATTGCATAAATTCATAAAGAGTGTTACTGCTGACTTTCTAGCTGATTTTCTGTGTGTCAAAGCTCGTATTGAACCTCTATTTATAGGGAATGGTTGAGATTAGGGTTTCAGAGATTCTGGAGGTGGCGCGCGCAACTTTGGAAGTTGCGCGTGGCTTCCGCGCGCAAGTGAGGAAGTTGCGCTGCTCGTGACTTCTAATCTTGCGCGTGATTGTATGGTAAGATTCGATTTAGTATCTTTCTAAAATTATGAATCTTCGCAAACGCAACACTGGAAGTTGCGCTTAGCTACTGCACGCAACCTTATAAGTTGCACGTGGCTGTCGAGCACGACTTCATGAGGTGCGCGCAGATTTTCCTGCGGGAGCCTTAGATTTTAACCTAGGCGCTCTAAATCTGATCGACATTAGGTTTAATTCTTGGATTAGGCCTAATTTCTGATCGGGCTTAGTATTAATGAGCTTTAATTCTTTTCGTTTGGGTCAAGCTAGTTAGTTTTATGTGTTTAGGCTTCAATCTGTAGTCCATTAGCATTCCTTACTCCAATCTAGCACAAAGATGGAATTATTTATCGTCATAACACTTCCGTTCGAGATAGGGGACCAAAAGTAGATGTCTACATTTAGCTCCCACTTTGATCGAGTCTAGAATAGACGATGATCAAAGTAGTTAAGGAAATAAATCCGAGACTCATTCTGCGAAGTTCTTTAGATATAAGGAATATCTTTCAGTGGTGTTGAGAATGTCGAAGCTATCCTTAGTTCGCTAAATGTTCAAGACAAGTAGCTACTAAGGCCAAAAAAAAAAAAATTTTAACTTAGTGCATTAAAGAGTCTAGATTGAACCTTTGTAGGTATAGAAAGCTTTTACAAGTAAAGGCTGTTGTGGATGATGTCATGTTATGAAAAGGTATCGGGTTTAAAAAGATTAAAAGAAGATGATACCTTCTTAATACGGCATCGATGGTCTAAAGTCCCTCGATCTGTCGTTGAAAATTAATCCATGATTTTAACAAAAGAAAAGATAATCAATAGGGGGTGTTTCGGCATTCTAGCCTAACACTTGAATAAAAGATTGACATACGCTACCAAAACAAAGATTTGATGTCCACAAGATAGAAATACAAGTCTCAGAGATGAAAATCGGCAACTCTCTCAGCGGTTTTGTCCACAAGATGAAAACACGCGTCTCAGGACTGGGGGCACGTGTCTAAATGGGGTGCAACTTCTTGGGGGCCGCTTTTTATACAGAGGGTAGACAGATACCCTAACTGTCCGATGAAACAAGATCGCTTTCAAGCTAACCGTATTTTGATATTCGCCCAACAGGGGTAGTCATTGCCCCGATGGTCGGCGCGCTTTGTCAACTCGTTAAGCTAACGCCTAAAAAAAAAGGTTCTTGTTCCAGAGTTGCGCGCGCCACCTTAGTAGCAACTGAAGTAGTTAAATATTCTATCTTGTTCTAGAGTATTAAGGGGCTGCCCCTCGAATTACCGGTTTCAAAGATTGATAACCTTGTTATCGTAAAAACAAAGCAATAAGGAAGCTTTTCCAAAAGAAGTAAAATAAGTTAGATTGCTTAAAGAAATGAGTAGATAAAATATGACAAAAGATACAAATGCATTCCATTAATTAAAGAATAGAGTCAGGTTTACAATTGTATAAGTTAAAGGAGAGGTTACCTCCATGATCATACAATTGGAAAAGACGAACGATCTTCAATACATGCTACGTGAAGAACTACACTATCGCTTAGCTACTAAGCCAAGGGAAACTACGAAAGCTAAGAAGAAAGATTAAAAGAAATAAAATGCTTGTTGTTGATTGATTTGTTGATGTCTTCCTTTGATCCTTGCGCTTTTATTTATAGGCGAAATTGAGCGGTTATGACTGACTCCCATAATTGTTGTACGGTTATGTTTCTTGGCGCCAACACTTCTTCAAAAATTAAAAACATCCATTAGCCTTCTAAAATGGCCTGTATTGGGCCTTTATGTGATATCGGCCCAGTTTTATGTCTTGACCAGTTTAGCCCAAAGACTTTTTACTGACTCTAATGACCTTTTTCATTCGGTCAAAGTGAATAAGGTCAAACAAAAGTCAAAAATCTGATTTTTGGGTGTAACAATGATCGACAAAGAACAACTCAATTACCATCAAGCCACTTGAATGGATTGTACATCCACTAAGTACTTTGAGCTCTTGAAGCACACTTGGAACCCTGTTCTTTATAAGATTCATGTAGGCATCATGTGGAAATTTACCAGGCAGAACACCAAAAGAGATAAATTTCTTAAGAATTATTTTCCCACATATGGAGAAACCGATATTGGTTTCTTCAAACAAATGCCAAAATAAAACAAATTAAATTGAATTAAGTAAGAACACTTAGGAGCAAAACAATGAAATTATACATTTACAACACTTGAAACCTCTCTTTAAGGTAAGCATGCACTAGGAGTAATCTAACTTTGAATTAAAAGAAAATAATAATTCAAAATATGACACCACAAGATTAATATACCAACTTATTGAAAAGATAGCCACCAAAAAAATTCAAGAGTAAGATAAAAATCAACATATAATCATATTTTAGCTAACGAGAATTATGTAGCACATATAAGAGTCACAAGAAGTAACAATAAGAAAATTCTCCTAAGGAGAAAAATTATAAAACTCTTCACAAAGTATAATATTACATCATTTCCATTCAAAAGACTTCACTCACTTAAACTTTGATAAATAATACACAAGCTACAGACACATATATGGAAATATGTAATGGAAATATTTAAGCATGAACAAAGTTTCTACAAAGCAAGACATATATATCAACATATATGCACTAAAAGTAGTAGACTTTATTGTTCAAAAAAAAAAGTAATAGTCTTTAGTATGTATCATACTCAACATAACACAAAATTCATGGTAATACATAAAAATACATACACCCTTAAAATGTCACAATTGAACCATAAATTATCTAAAGTTATAGAAACATGTAAGCATTACAAAGAAATAACTTGCTAAAAAAATAGACATTATTCTAAAATCAAGAGTCTAACCATTACCTTCATAATGAACAAAATCATATATACTTCAAAACTCCAACAACTTGATAAATTAAACTAATTAGGTATCTCTAAATACTAAGGTCAAACCACAAGTGAAGAACCAAGAGAAGGGACGATCATACCAAGCAATGTCACACTTATATAACATGGATTATACTTTAGCTTTTAATCGTTTAATCTAATAATCACTTAGAAAATAATAACACGTTATTGACAAAATAATCATCCAACATTATATTGCCAAAAAAAATCACAATCATATATTTGTCAAGAGAATTATTAGAAATTAAACCACATGCTGAACATAATCGATAAAAATTGGCTAAGAACGGATCCCCCTTAAATTAATTCAAGTGACGTGAATAAGAATTCTCGTAATACTCCCAAACATCCACTCCAAAAACGTAGCTCAAAGATGTCATCATAAATCCCAAATGTGAGTTGCTATCAACGATCCGACCTTTTAAAAAGAAGCGTCAAATGTCCCGAACAAGCTCTTAAAATTTCAGCAAAAACCGACAACAAATGACCTTCGATCAGGGGCCATCTTCGGGACTTCTCCCAAA